AAAACTAGCTCATTTTAACGAATTGAACCTCATTGGAGTTTTATTTACACCGTAACGTTAAAAGCAATTAATTAAAAGATAAGTTCCGATTACACGGCAAATGAGGTAGACTCAAAGTTGAGATTAGTTTACTCATATTTTTGAAAACGTAGTTAACTCATAGACATAGCAAAACTTCCCGAGCTTTTACAGGAATTTGTTTTTTTTTTAATATGAGCAACATCTCGATGTACATATGAAATTTTTATACTTCTAGAATAAGTAAATTTTTCGTCGATTATTGTCATATTCGAAAAAAAAATATGAGGCTCGGAAAATTTTACTCAGTCTACTCCAGTCCAGTCCACCACCTGAATATGGTGAAATCGACAATCAAAAGAACAATTTAAAAGCTAATTAGTACGATTCTAAACATTTCGTGTTCAAAAAGTGTTGTTGAATCAGGATGGAGGTTGCTCAAACGATTCAGATAGGAAGGAATGTCGAAATAAAGATCATCGAGAAATGGAGAGGACTAGACAACAGAGAGTACAACGAAGTCAAGTACGATGAATTTGCGCTAAAAACTAACACAGTTGTAACGATTTTAGATATATTAAGCAACATATTCGTTACCTTTTGCAAAATAATTACACACCTGAGGGAGAAAAACTTGGCTAAATATAACACAACTAGCTGATACCAACCTTTTTGCTTTTCTCGTACACCAATATGGACCGAAAGGCACAATTTCGTTCCAAGACTCGGAGAGACGAATGGCATATACCAATAGACTTATCTAAACGGGATCCTTTGAAAAAGTTCGTCATGGGGTTTCCTTTCGACTCTTATTCAGCTACATAACGGCGAAAATGGCTGCTTTGTTCAGCACTAAAACTGCATCCGGGGGTGAGTGTTCTCGAATAAAAATATGGAATGGAATGGAAACACACTGTCCGTTTCATTCAAGGAGGACGAAAATAATCCGCTTTACATTTCATATAAAGGATTTTTTAAATTCGCTTCAAAATTTCGATTTTTTTAGATAAATTCGAGTCGTAATGCATAATAACAAGCACCTACCGATATTATCCGATTTCATACACTATTCATCGATAATCTTGGATGTGGTAGAATTATCGAGCATTATGCTGATGTTGTTTTTAGTGTGTTTGGTGATGTGAACTGTCACTTTCTTGAGAACCTGCTTCTGTGATTGTTGCATGTTTAAACTCTGGAAGCAACGAAATTTGCCTGGAGATTTGGCAATATAATTGATGGCCAAACATGATGAAAACCAAGACCAAACGATAGGTGCCATCGATGCTGATCTTCAACGGCTGCCTTAGATTGGGGAATTCTGTTGAGGTAATGATGGAAATCAGTAATAACCTTGGAGATATTATTCCCATTCGTGACATATGCGTTTCCGCACTTCCTATAATATGTGTAATGCGCTATACTATCACCTCAAAATTTCAAGAGCACAGCTGTCACAAAACATACAACAATGAAACTGGAACTTCACATTTGATGCAGCAAACATGGAGTTCCAATTTCATGAGTGATGTCACAACTGTGTCCGAAATTTGTGCTCTAGCACACTTGAAGTGATAGGGCATCTCAGCCATCATCAGGTAATTTGTGGACTCTTCAAGGAATCACCATAAATGATTGTTGAACATATGATTTTCGAACAGATTTATCAACCAACAATATTAAAAGGGTGGATCAGCTAATTTGTTATCACCTTATCTTGTGAACTGAAGCACGCCTACGCAAACCAATTCCACCGGATTCGGATAGGAGAGAATTTTCCCTAGCCGACGGTGTTGTTGATTTGGCAACCCTAATAAAAGAATACCATAAACGAATGATAACCCAAATTATTGAACCATTGCACAAATGGTTGGGATTATACCCAGAACACAGAACAGATTCACAGACATGTAAAAATCTGTAGATTCACAGACATAATTATGATATAATAATGTTCTTGCACACCTTACCGACAGTATTGCTTTTTTATATTCCCAAGGTTATCCCGCCAGGAATCAAACGGATTGTTTTTAACTGGAATATGCTCACCAAATACAATCACCATGGCAGCACCAACACAACCTTAAACAAAATTTGGAAAATTTCGAAAATAAAGAAAAGGAAAACATATACACAACCACATAAAACACATAAACAGGGAACATGGCACTCCCCAGACAATCAGAATGTACGTATATTCAAAGTTGTTTCTGTGATATACAAACAAACAAATCGTATAGAATGCAAAAAAAAGGCTTATACCTACAAAAGTGGAGGCCAAATAGGTGCAATTTTTTTAAGCGATTTGATGTGACATCATATACGATTAAATCTGTAATAACAAACTGAATTTGAATAGATTTACAGTGTAATCCGATTTTATTTGTTATACAGTACGATAGAAAAATGAATCATCGAATATAGGTCGAAATTTGCATGCTATACGATTTAACTTAAAGATAATGCGAAGTATGTCATACTTATACGCGGTGTTGACATAAACGGTGGTTATTTACATTTTTATACGACTTGTGGTTGTCTGGAATCGTTCCAATGCACACTGGGCCAGGAATGCACTTTATAACTCCGAAACGAAGCATTTCCGCGACTAGGTGTCTTGGGCAAATTTTTTCATCATAATAAGAACCATCTATTGACATAAACAAATAGTTCAAAACTTTTCCGCAAAGATGGCGCCACAATCTAACTTCTTTCTCTGACGTTTTGGAGACTTGATGTCTTCGGCAAAGTTGTTTATCTTGACAAAATGAACAACTCTTTTCAAAACGTAAAATTTCCACAGCCTACTGGTTCAGAGTTATTTGGAGTTAAAGAAAAAAATGTTGAAAATATGTTTTTTTTTTGTTTCTGTTTCGGTTTTTTTTGCTTACAACCATATGATGATATATTTTTCTCTTATGCAAATGCATTAAATAAATAACTTTTGCGAAGAAACATACTGGTTTAAGCTTCTTTAATTAATATTTCTTCTAATTTTTGATTAGGAGCATGAATAGGGTTGGAAATTAATTTTCTATCACTTATTCCCTGAATAAATGAAGGTAAAATAAATTTAGTATACTTTTAACTCAAGCTTTTGCTTCATCAATTTAATTCTTTGCAATTATTTTTTATAATATATTTTTGTTAAAAATAATTGAATAATAAATAAAAATTTAAATGGGGTACTAATTTTATCGACTTTATTATTAAAAATAGGAGCAGCTCCTTTTCATTTTTGGTTTGCAGTCAAAACTCCATAGCCTACTGTCAGATATGTTAACCACTCAAATATAGCGGCACCAGTGGTGTAGTGGTAAGCGGGATCTCACCCCAGCAGGCCTGAGTTCAATCCCAGTTGGCGAATCCGGGATGTTCTGAGGCATAATATCTCTGATCACACCTTCCGGAAGGGAAGTAAAGCCGTTGGTTCCCGGTTCATGAGTTGATGGGTCGATAGGTAGGGTCCAGGTGTGAGAGCTGCCTTTTTGGTTTCGGTAGCATTGGTGCTCAGCACAGAAAACAAGATCGACCGAAAACAAATTAAGGGAAAACCCCACACAAATACAGAAATAAGCATCATTTAAAGGCATTTAAAAAATGTGCGGAATCAGATTTGTCAATTTCAAACAGAAAAATGAGACAAACTCATCTACCAGCTTTACAATAGTTTCTAAATCACAACCCACCATTCTAATGAGAGCTGATCGATGCTTTTTTTCTCTAATATCTCTAATAATGATAGCCTGTCAGTGAACGTTTTTAAATCATTCAAATAGTTAAGTTCGGTCAAACTGTGTAAAATTAGATTTCTGTTTTCATGCGTTGTGCACTTATTTCCTTTCAAATCCTTATATATTTCAAGATGTATGCGATAGTAAGCAATTTTTGTGACCAACTGCTAGTTTTCACCATTCGAACTCCTTTAAGTATCAGATGGATAGGTACAATTTCTCGATATTTTTTTTAGGAATTCGCCCCCACAAACCAACATTACCGTCTGGTAGGGGAAGTCTTATCCTATCTGATGGCGATGTAGATTTGCGTGGCCGAGCCTTGACTTCCAAGACATCATCGGAAGAAATAATTGTTTACAAAAACTGTTACTTCCTAATTCCAGCTCTTAAGATATATGGGAACTGACATCCGATTGATGATATTGGAAAAGGACCAAAAAATAATCTTTTACAGATTTATGGTGGTCCTGCAAAGGTGTGCTAATTTTTATTATCATTCGTACAATTTTCAATAGTGACATTTTGAAAAATTATAAAGTCTCAAATTTTACAGACGCGTAGAAATATTTCTGATCGTTTGGTGATAAAATTGTTGAAATTGGTCCAGGGGCAGCTGAGTGATTATCGTTAAAAATCTTTCATAATTTTGTAACATGTTCCATTTTTGGTTTTCACTAAGTGTACCCCTATATATAAATCACAGACGTAGTCCTACGTCAAAATTGGAGATTTTACCTTCTTGCAAACATGAGCAGTTCTTTGTTGTTCGGCATTCGGCCAAACGACCCATTCGATCAAACGGCAGTCGGTTAAATGACCCGGAACCAAATAATTTGAGCTGCATTTGTTTAAATATAATATATTATTTGATTCTAATTGAAATGGGGGAAATGGAGTAATGTGTGTGTTTGTTTGTGTGTGTGTGTGTGTGTGTGTGTGTGTTTGTGTGTGTGTGTTTGTGTGTGTGTGTTTGTGTGTGTGTGTGTGTGTGTGTGTGTGTGTGTGTGTGTGTGTGTGTGTGTGTGTGTGTGTGTGTGTGTGTGTGTGTGTGCGTGCGTGTGTGTGTGTGTGTGTGTGTGTGTGTGTGTGTGTGTGTGTGTGTGTGTGTGTGTGTGTGTGTGTGTGTGTGTGTATTTGTGTGTGTTCTCCCTCTAACCCCCACTGGCCGCCAGTGTTATTATGGAAGAACTCTCTCTACAATGTCGCATTTATGGTCATTGCAGACAGCTTTAGTCCTTGCTAAAGTTAGGTGGTGATAGCTCTATTGCAGATCCAGCAACCCATTTGAGAATGTCTGGAGAGTCATGCCCATTCCGAGGTTACTTTCACTCACAATAAGCCCCGCATGTATGCATCACCGTTATCAAATGGATATTGGTAATATATACACACTTCCAGGTTCGAAAATATTATTTTCAAACCTGGCATGTATTTAGTTTAATTTTGATATTTAATTTGGACAGCTCTCACCATATTCTGCTCTTCCGCCGCCGTTAATTGCTTCTTTTGGAATCCCTTGGAGTGTTTCTCTAACGCTTCGTATTGCATTCTGTGCTTCACCGGCAATTTCCTTCCGTAGATCGTCCTTGGTTGGTTCAAACATGATTCCGCCTTTTCCGGGGTTTTCTTGTTTTCTTAGGGAGATAAATCCGCACTAATTTCCGTTCCTGGTTCGATGTTCCCTCCATCCTCGTTGGTTGATGTGGTCGGTTTCATGTCCACTATATTCATTATATGTCCACTATCTTGCCATGGTGATCTGGGACATTGAACATTGAACGCCATCTATAGTATATACTTTGATGGGCAATACACTCAACAGATGATTGTAGTGTGTAAACGTCAAATGCTAGGTAATTGATTATGTGCACAACAAGTGGCGGTACTACCAACTAAGAAACATTTAAATTGACAGTTAAAAGCGATTTCGATGAACGTTTTAAGAGTGTTATGTCTGCTTGACTGTGATCATACCTTCACTATCGCAACTTCGGGTAATCTGCGAAAGTACTTGCATTTTTCTCAGGCACTTTTGATCCAACTGCAATTACTCTCACATACCCAAAATGTACCACGACCAAATTGGCACAACGACGCCCGACCGAAGCGCAGGGAAATGGGGGAAATGGAGTAATGTCGGCCTAAATGCCCCTTATTTGGGCCCATACATAAATTCAGCAATCCACTAAATTTTCAATAGCAACCAAAAATATCCATTAGTACCGTCCCAATGACGCGTTCATCTACATAAAATTGATAATAGCAGATTTTCAGCGATAAAGCTGCAACTGATTTTAGTTTTAAAAAAATATCAATACATTTTCTAGGATTTTTAAAATATTTGGAAGGGAATTTCACTTCGCAACTTTGACGGCCATTTTCTCAATGTCTATTTTTTTCCATATGGGACTGGTATGGTACAAAATCGGCGAAGTGAATCCCAGTTCCGTTAAGTGTTTCGCAGCAGACAAAGAGACAGGGATTAAATGGATCCTGGGAATGGTTTGGTTTCCCTCTAGGCATCGTGGCAGCCTTTGTTATTAATGTAAAGGTTCTTGTACAGGATGTCTGGAGGTCCAAGATAGAGTGGGATGATAAAGTTCCCAGGGAGATTTGCTGTCGTTGGAAACAGTGACGTGCTGTACTCTGGAAGATTAACAAGTGTTCATCTTCCAGAGTACAGCAAGCCACTGTTTCCAACGACAGATCAAAGTCAATCGTTGCTATTTCCTAGGTTATAGTTCCAATTGCTACAGATCCCTGGAGCTCTACATTTTCGTCGTTGCTAGTGAGCAAGCCTTCGCAGCAGTTGCCTACTTCCGAGTAGTTGACAACTGTCATGTTAGATGTTCCTTGGTGGTATTCTCAAAAACGAAGGTTGCAACACTGGCGGCGGTACTTGGAGCTCGTCTAAGGAAGACGATCGAGGAGAAGCATTCGTTGAAGATTCAACGTACCTGTTTTTGGAATGATTCATCGACAAACAACGCCTGGATTAAGTCAGACGCACGCCGCTACCGGCAATTCGTTGCGTTTCGGATCAATGAGATTCTCAGCTTATCGTCGGTAGAAGAATGACAGTGGATACCAACGAAGCTCAACGTGGCCGATGAAGTCACAAAGTGGGGGAAGGGACCATCCTTCGAACCTGACAGCCGATGGTTGCGTGGACCTGAGTTCCTATACGACAACGAGCAAGAGTGGCCGAGGAATTACCGCGACGAAATCGAACCGAAAACCGTAGAACCTCGTCCTGCCTTGTTTGCAAGCATCTTTTCATTGAACCGATGGTGAAAGTCGAACGATTCTCGCGATGGGACCGGCTAATACGAAGTGTTGCATATGTTCTGCGATACATCGATAATCGGATGCGGTTGTATAAGAAAACTCCATTGCAGCTGAATGAATTGCCAATGGACGAGCTGCAGAAAGCTGAACGGTGTTTGCGATTGACGAGTTCAACGTGCTCCGTGTTGACGGTCGCATCCAAGCAGCTGACTTTATTGATTACGATGCCAGAAACCCAATTATATTACCGCGAGATAGTCGTATCACTAAACTGCTGTTGGATTCGTATCATCGAAAGTTTCAACATGCGAACGACGAGACCATGGTAAATGAGATCAGGCAGAAGTTTTGGATACCGAAGTTGAGGGTGCTGGTGCGTCTGGTGAGGAAACAATGGGCATGGTGCCGTGTGTACAAAGCCGTCCCGGTTGCACGTAGAATGGGATCTCTTCCAAAAGCCAGATTAATGCCATTCTGCTGTCCATGTAGCATGGTTGGAATTGATTACTTCGGGCCATACACGATCAGAATATTGCGTCGACCAGTGAAGCGGTGGGTCGTTCTCTTCACGTGCTTGACTATCAGAGCATTATATCTGAAGATACCTGCCACCTTGTCGACGGATTCGTGCAAGAAAGCGATTCGACAGTTTGTAGCCCGTAGAGGTGCTTTACACAGACAACGGAACCAACTTTGTGGGAGCAAACAAAGAACTAACTGAGGAAATACGAACGATCAAACAGCAGCTATGCAGCACCTTCACCGCACCAACACACGATGGAGATTCAATCCACCAGCGGCTCCGCACAGGGAGGGATGCTGGGTTGAGGATGGTTCGCTCAGTGAAGACTGCTCGGGGAGCACTTCCTACCGAACGCATACTTGACGAATAGTCGTTCGTAACCATGCTCGTCGAGGCAGAGCATATGGTCAATTCCCGACCGTTGACCTTCATCCCACTAGAGACTGCTGAACACGAATCCTTGAGCCCGAATCCGATGGAGTACGATAGCCAGTTAAACAGCCCGTGGATGAAAGATCTGCAATACGGAGTAGCTGGAACATGATTCAACACACGCTGGACAACTTCTGGCGACGCTGGATCAGAGAATATCTGCCGACTATTAGCAAAAGAACAAAGTGGTTTCATAACGTCAAAACTATGAAAGAGGGTGAGTTAGTCGTCTTAGTTGATGAAAATGCACGAAACCGGTGGCAAAGGGGATGAGTTGTACGAACATACCCAGGAAAAGATGGTACAGTACGATGGGTGGATGTACAGATACATATCTACCGGTATTTTAAGACGACCAGTAGTAAAACTAGCCGTGCTAGACGTAGATCCGAGCAGTGACGCCGAAGCGATAGTTCTGGAGACACGAGAAGGGGAATGTAAGGGACGAACACCCCTCGAACAGAAGTAGGGCATTTCGATGATAAGTGCAGCTTCGAATGCGCTACTCACTCACACGCATACAAGTAAGGAACAATCATCTTGTCCAACAATAGGCTAAAGAAGTGAGTTGCAGTCGGGATCTAATGTGACGAGGAGTTGAACTTAAAGTAACTTAAATGTAAATCTTATATTTATATTATACTAAAATTATATCTATCCACCATAAATCTAGATTTAATTGATATTTGTAATTTTTTGTCTAGAATCATTCGATTTCGGAGACTAAATGTAAGTAATTGTCAAATTCGTGATATGACATGTGTGTGTGTGTGTGTGTACAATCCAACCCCCACTGTCCGGCAGTGTTATTATGGAAGAAAACTGCTTTTTATTACTCTTAATTTAAAGCAGGTTTAGTCCGGGAGTTAGAAGGTGTTAGCTCTATTGCAGCTCCAGTGACCCATTTCAGAATGCCTGGTAATTCACGACCACTCCGAGGTCACTTTTACTTACAATAAGCCCCGCATGTTTACTCTACCTTTATCAAATGGATAATGGTATCATAAACACACTTCCAGATTCAAAAACTATTATTTCCAAATCTGGCATGTATATAGTTTTGAAATTTTTTCATCTGTATTAAATCAATTTTAATGGACATTTCTTACCAATTTTGTTTCGAATACCTCTTGATTCATCTGCTGGCAGCCCTTACTTCCATTTTTATGTTCTTTCTTTGTTTTCCTTGTCTTCATCTATCATCTTCAATTATCATCTGAAATATATATTATTTTAGTATAATTGTGCATAACATTGATTTATAATCTTTTTATTCAATAACCCGTCATTTTTTGTCAAATTCGTGATATGACATGTATTCTAAAAATAAATAACCCTTTCGGCTTTGAGCTTACTTGCACCACAAAAAGCGAGTTTGCTTCGATGATACCGAATTTATCACAACAGGCAGTAAAACTTTTATGTCTTGTGCAACTTTTCATAAAACTCTAGGTTTTACAACTTTGCAGTAGACAACCCAAGTAACAATTCAGCAACCATTTGGCATCCACGCTAATTTATGATGGTGTTATAATGGTAATGAACCATCCATTTTGTTTAAATACAGCATTTGAAAGTGTAAAACATTGCTGTACAGTAATTCAGCTTTTTGCTGTTTCAAAAACCTTTTATAGTCTGGCGAGAAAGTTGAAGATACATTTAAAGCAGTTCTCAATCCCTCCATAAAACTGTTCTGTAATTCAATCATAGACATCATCAGCAATTGTTTATTAATGCCTTGATCAAAAAATCTATAAAAGTGTTCTTTCATGATAAAATCAACCATTAAATCATGAGATTTTAAATGAGAACAAAAGGAATATTTTAATGCATTACAGTCTTTTTAAAGTGTATCATAAAATCCACAATTATTCTGTTTACACATTGAACTTAAAAGATATGGATCCTCATAGTGGAGAAAACCAAAATTTATGACAAGGAAATCTCGAAGGATAGACGAAGTAGGATGAAAAATTCAAGCGATTCTAATGATCGAAGGGAAGTCGATTTCA